AGGTCAGTGATTCTGATAGCTTAGGCAGTGTTTAGACCAGCAGAGAAGGCCTTGTTGGCCTAGACGGACCACCACTGCCATAAAGAGAGGAGAAGAACCTTCATCCAGCTTCAAGGGTGACATTAAAAATACACAAATGCTTTAAATGAGAGTTTTGAGGCATGCTGTATGGGATGTTATCGAACAGTTAAAGGAGGAAGATTACCAGTACTAGCTAGATAATCAACATGTATTTATTTGCATAGCATCACATACAGCCAGTGTTTCAGGGCTCTGCTGGGTCACTTTCTCAAGGTCACACAGTGGTCATATCTGACCCATGGGATATTACACAAATAAATACATGTTGATTATCTAGAGTAGAGCGCTGATGATCTGCTTCCATTTACTGTGTTTTTTCATGCTGCCATCTGCTGCAGCCACAACAAGGGCCATTTAGTTACATTGGTCACAATGCTATAAAGAGCATAGCACATCATGTATGTATCCTACCACTCAGTGCCCCACATGCCACTACTGCCTCCCCCTTGTGCCAGCCCTGCTAACACTGCAACTCACAGTATAGCACAGTATCTCTTCATACAGGGAGTAGTCAACTCTCCTGGACTATATGGATGCTGTGAGCCCACCATTGTATGGCGATGGGGCTGGGTTAGCAATTTCTTCATATCAGTGGCTCTTTTTACTGACCAGGAGGAAAGGCCTGGCAGTGCATTATGGGTTGTTACTAACTTCTGGGACAAACATGTGTAGCATTACCCCCTTAGGAGTCGCTGAGTTTTGGGTCCCCTAAAGCTCTGCTTAGCCAGGTAACACACATTTTCTTCCGCACTTTGCACTCACAGTCAGTAAACAGTCCTTGAGCTTGGTTTTGTGATTTTATTAAAGGGTTAATCACTTAGACGGGGCTGTATGGGATGCCCAAGGAAATTGCAAACTTGAAGACGAACTCCTTATCAATTATGTACAGATGTGGGCGAAATAGTCTCTCCTCACCCAACTGCTTGGGAGTATTCCCTGGGCAAGGAGGCCCATAAACTGCCAATTTAATTCAGCAGCCCCAGATGAGAAACTAGTTGGATTTTCCACCTGTCTGCCCTCTCTCCTTTTATCCGGCCCAGCGGTTGTAAGAGTAGTCACACTGTCCTCCCCTGATAGCTCCATGGGTTGGTGGCTGCCTTCAGGCCTTTCGCTGGGCTGGCTCCATCCCTGTTACTCAGGATTGTCCTGCCTTGGAGACAATTGTAGAGTGGAGATCTTCTTCTCCAGCACCTGCCTGTAGGTAGGCCCCTTCCCTGGGCCCCCTCCCAGGCTATAAACTCCAGCCTTTCACTCCATCTTCAACCCGACACTCACACTGACCCTTCTGCACAGGCTCTGCCACTTTTAAGGGTTGCCCTGGACACCATCCTCAGCCTCCTGCAAGGGGTTTAGCCAGGGTCCTCAAGTATGCAGACCTGGCCTTCCTTCCCTCCTCCACCCCTCCTCCAGAAAGCTTCCAGGTTTCTGGAGAGGTGGGAGGGCTCCAGAAACCCTGACCTGTTAAGAGCCTCCCAGCCTGTCCTGAGGTGACCTCTCTACCTCACTCCCAGGCTGACTCATCTCAGGCTGCTACTCAGCCTCTACCTAAAAAAAAAAATAAAACAACAAACTCTTTCTAGCTAAGCTAGAGGGCGGTACACATGTGAATTTATTAGCCAATAGTTTGGGATTCAGCAGGCAGCTCAGACCTCCTCCCTAATCCCCTTCTATATGAAATCAGAGTTAGTAAAAACGCATAAATCTAACACCTATGACTACAGAAGTGAAGGGACGATATCTTCTCAGTGGAGGCACAGACAGCACTATACCACCAACCAAGCTTCTACCCTGTCCCTACTCTATCAAAACTAGAAAAACTGCAGGTAATAACCAAAACTGTAAATCCTTGTCCCAAGAAAAAAATAGGGGTAGTAGGAAAGAGTTTTGCTGGAAATCCAAATTTAAAGTTTAACTCCTGGTACAAAAACCTTATTTTAAACATATTCCTCAGTAACAACCAAGGTATATCCACTATGCGTGCGCTACACGACTTTTCAAACATAGCACTGACATCATCACTGTGCTGTACATACTGTAGCAAAGAGTAGCACTGTGGGAGGAACCTAGAAGCTACACCCACTATAGGCTGCCTGCAGAAAACTACAGGAGGGGGGCGGAGACACGACCAGTCACCCTGTACAAGGAGACAGATCAGCAGTGACCAGTCTGTATCACTGGAAGGTCCTGTGAAGTTTCACTCTGTGTTACTGAACAGATCTGGAAGAAATAAACAAAGCACACCAAGATTCAAGGATGAATACCGATGACTCTTGTATTTAAACAATATTTTCTTATCCCGAGGATAAGCTTTAATTACTTTTAGTTTTATTTGCTGATATTGTTCATTTTACATTTTTCACTCTACAACATAGGCTAATAATTCCCCACAACTGTCCCAGTTTTCCAAATTCCGGCTCTACTTATGATGAATGAAAATGGCTGAGACCCCATCCATAGCTGCTATTTAGGTCTGCTGCCTCTCTTTATGCCATTTGCAATAAACTTTACCACTGTGTAATTCAGAATTACAGCAATCAATTATTTTTATACCTACAAAACCATTTTAATTCCAGAGCAAATGTAACAAGTGCTCAGAATTAATGGCCCAACGCAAGACATTACCTTGCGTACACAAATAAACTTTTATGCGGTGATATTTCATTTTGCTGGCTCCAGGAGTTTGTATCTTAAAGACCAACTCCAGCTTGGGAAAAGAATGGAAAATTCCATTGGGCAGCATGAGTTAAAAATAACAAAGAAACTCGAGCTGCAATACTCACCTCCTCTCCAGCACTGTCCCCTGTCATTTAACCTACTTCTTTAAGGTCCAGGGTGTCAAGGACCAGCCATCTGCCCTGGGCATATAGGAGAATGCTGCAGAATTCTGAATCTGCCCAGCCCCAAGGAAGAAAAGGGTGAAGAGGAACTATCACATGACCAGAATGGACCAAAGACATCTGGAAACAAGGCATGTATCCATTTTGTTTTTTTAATGTGGGGATGCCCCAGGGTAAGAGTGATCCTAAGCCTGGAGTTGGGCTTTAAAGAGAACAGCTGCCGGTCACTGGATATTTTCTCTTTTTCAGACCATTCTCTCTAAACCCTAGGTGAGCTGTGTGTGAAAATCCCAGTAGATGAGCAGTTTTTTTTTAAATACTCAGACCAACCCATCACCAGCAGCCATGCTAAGTTCAAAGTCACTTAAATCGCTTTTTTTCTCCATTCTGATGCTGGGTTTGAACTTCAGCAAGTCATCTTCCCCACGTCTACATGCCTAAATGCATTGAGTTGCTGCCATGTGATTAGCTGATTAGCAATTTTTGTTACCAAGCAATTGAATAGGTGTACCTAATAAAGTGGTTGGTGAGTATATATACCGTATATATACACACACACTGCTCAAAAAAAATTAAAGGAACGCTTTTAAATTAGAGTATAACATCAAGTCAATTAAACTCCTGGGATATTGATCTGGTCAGGTAATTAGCAGAGAGGGTTGGTTATCAGTTTCAGCTGCTTTTGGTGTTATTGAAATTAACAACAGGTACACTAGATGGGCAACAACGAGATGATCCCCAAAACAGGAACGATTTTACAGGTGGAGGCCAGTGACATTTTTTTTCCCTACTCATCTTTTCTGCAGTTGGCTAGGGTCAGTGTCACTACTGGTAGCATGAGGCCATACCTGGATCTTACAGAGGTTGTACAGGCAGTCCAACTCCTCCAGGATGGCACATCAATACATGCTATTGCCAGAAGGTTTGCTGTGTCTCCCAGCACAGTCTCAAGAGCATGGAGGAGATTCCAGGAGACAGGCAGTTACTCTAGTAGAGCTGGACAGGGCCGTAGAAGGTCCTTAATCCATCAGCAGAGCTGGTATCTGCTTCTATGTGCAAGGAGGAACAGGATGAGCACTGCCAGAGCCCTACAAAATGACCTCCAGCAGGCCACTGGTGTGAATGTCTCTGAACAAACAATCAGAAACAGACTTCATCAGGGTGGCCTGAGGGCCCGACATCATTTAGTGGGTTCTGTGCTCACTGCCCAGCACCATAGAGCTTAATTGGCATTTGTCATTGAACACCAGAATTGGCAGGTTCACCACTGGTGCCCTGTACTATTCACAGATGAGAACAGGTTCACCCTGAGCACATGTGCCATATGTGAAAGGGTCTGGAGAAGCCATGGAGAACGTTCTGCTGCCTGTAACATCGTTTAGCATGACTGTTTTGGTGGTGAGTCAGTGATGGTCTGGGGAGGCATATCCATGGAGGGACGCACAGACCTCTACAGGCTAGACAATGGCATCCTGACTGCCATTAGGTATCCAAATGAAATCCTTGAACCTCATACTGTCCAGCAGCTCAGTGATGCCCTGGTCCAGATATGGGAGGAAATACCCCAGGACACCATCTGTCATCTCATTAGGAGTATGTCCCGACATTGTCAGGCATACATACAAGCACATGGGGGCCATACAAACTACTGAGGACCATTCTGAGTAGCTGAAATTAAATTTCATCAAAATGGACTAGCCTGCTGCATCATTTTTTCATTTTGATTTTCGGGGTGTCTTTGAATTCAGTCCTCTGTAGGTCGATCATTTTCATTTCCATCTAATGATGGGGCATCCTTATGTTCCTAACACATTACCCCGTCCATATCAGTATAGATATCCAGCATGACATTTTTCCCCATTGAGATTTGATGTGTTTTCAAAGTGTTCCTTTAATTTTTTTGAGCAGCGTATATTCAATATTCAACATGCCAAGTCTGCCTGCTCCCGTGGTATAGCAAAAAAAAAAAAAACCCACTGTACCCCAAAATCTCTATAGCAGGGGCAGACTGACCATTTGGAAACTCGGGCACTGCCCGAGGGCCCGGGGTCAGTAGGGGGCCCCATAAGATGCCCCTGGTACCTTTTTCATAGGCTTTTTTGAGTTTGGGCAAGGACACAGGGGCCCCATGATCCCCTATTGCCTGGGGGCCCCATGACTTGTCAGTCTGCCCCTGCTCTATAGGTGACACTTTAAAAGCCTTGACAGTCCAGCAGTTTAGAGTAAACCAGGAGCTCTTGTGCTAGAATTATTGCTCTCACTCCGATGTTCACAGTGATAGGTCATGCCTGTTTTGCGACCATTTACATATGCATGTGCACCCTAGGTGTGCATTTGCACATGTATGCATTGCAACCGAAGTTATGGAAATGTTTTAAATATATTTTATTATTTTTTTTTTTTTACTTATTTATTTATTACCAGCCACTTTATTAGGCACACCGTTCAAGTGCTTGGTGAGACAAATTGCTAATCAGCCAATCACATGGCAGCAACTCAATGTATTTAGGCATCTAGATGTGGTGAAGACAACTTTCAGAAGTTCAGACCGAGCATCAGAATGAAGAAGAAAGGGGATTTAAGGGACTTTGAACGTAGCATGGTTGTTGGTGCCAGATGGGCTGGTCTGAGTATTTCAAAAACTGCTGATCTCTTGAGATTTTCACGCACAACCATCTCTAGGGTTTACAGAGAATGGTCCGAAAAAGAGAAAATATCCAGTGAGCGGCAGATGTGTGGACGAAAATGCCTTGTTGATGTCAGAGGTCAGAGGAGAATGGGCAGACTGGTTTGAGATGATAGAAAGGCAACAGTAACTCATGTCAATATGGACCAAAATCTCTGATAAATATTTCCAACACCTTGGATCTATGCCATGAAGAATGAAGGCAGTTCTGAAGGCTAAAGGGGGTCCAACCCGATACTACCAAGGTGGACCTAATAAAGTGGCCGGTGAGTGTATTTTCTCTTGATTGCTATCAGAAGGGGTTAATAGACCCCATATGTTAACATTGGGCAGGTAACAGATACTCTAATAGACCCCAACGTCTTCCCTGCCCTTCACAGATCGGCTTGGTTAGATTTGTCCCATGGCTGTACCAGCCAGCAAGTGATAGATCTGAAGTGGAAGTTTTTTTTTTACCCAAATGAAAACCGCTAAAAACCTCAAATGCGGAAAAATGCTGGAAAAAGGCGCTAAACGCTAATGCAAAAATGCTAAAAGAAGCTGAAAACTCAGGTTTTTAATGTGACTACACAGCTAACATTACCAGCATTATCAAAACGCCCCGTGTGCATGAGGGCTCACACCTCTCTCCATCCTGAAGCTGGAGGTTGTGATCCTGTCATCCATCAGCTTGTGACTACCAGTTCATTCTTTGGTTGCAGTACGCCCAAAGAGCTGAACTAGTTAAAAAGGAAGTGATGTTGGGGAAATGATCTACTTTGAGGCGTGGTTAGGTTGTGGTGTGGTAGCAGACATTTTTGTGAATTGGTTTTTTTTTGTGAAGATGAAGAGAAGCAAATGGTGTTACCACACGGCTTCTACAAATAGGAAGTGACTGGAGCTGCTCTGTCCTAGTACTCTGCTAAGTACAACTGAGTATGTGGTAAGATCCCGCTCAGACACTAAAATACCGCATGAGTTATATTATGAAGTCATGCTGTATTAGTAGTGAAACATTCTTTAATGTTTCAGCTGTCAGAAGGTTCCCTGCTGACCGCGGAATGTCAAACGAATGATCGGAATTGCCCGACGGTTACATTTTTTCTTTTTAAACGGCATGGGGTTCCCCCCATCCATACTAAGCCCTTCGGGTCTGGTGTAGTATTTTGAGGGGAACCCTCACACCAAAATATTTCTAAAAAATGGCGTAGGGTCCCCCTCAAAATCCATACCAGACCCTTATCCGAGCATGCAACCCGGCAGGTCAGGAAAAGGGGGGGACGGGTGAGTGCGCCCCCATCCTGAGCCATACCAGTCCACTGGCCCTCAACATAGGGGGGTGCTTTGTGGCTCCCCCCCCAAAGCACCTTGTTCCTATGTTGATGGGGACAAGGGCCTCTTCCCCACATCCCTGGCCAATGGTTGTGGGGGTCTGCGGGTGGGGGGCTTATTGGAATCTGGAAGCCCCCATTAACAAGGGAGCCCCCAGATCCCGGCCTCCCCCTATGTGAATGAGTATGGGGTTACACGGTACCGCTACCCATTCACAAAAAAAAAAAAGTGTAGTAAAAAATGACAGAAGACAGTCTTTGACAAGTCCTTTATTAAAAACAAAAATTTAAAAAATGTCCCCCGAAGTAGATCCAACGTCAATCACGATACCCGCCGCCACCGCTGACACGAAAAAAGAAAAAAAAAACTCTCCACTCTCAACGCTGTGATGTCATTATGCGCTGTGATTGGCCAAAGCATTGCACCTGACCTGTGGTCAGGTGCATTGCTTTGGCCAGTCACAATGCACTGTCAGGGCGCAGCGAATTGTGGGGCACAGCGAGCAAACAGCCTGCTGAATGCCCTTACCATTCGTGTGTTCAGTGAACACACGAACGGTCCATGCTCATGAAGCCCATCACTAGTTTTCAGCAGCCGATGCTCCACAACTGCTGAATATCTAAATAGTGCTTGCATCTGACTGGGCACCTCTGCTGTTTGTCTGAAAGTTTTCTGACCCACTCCAACTATAGTCAACTGAAACTGAAAAATCGACTTTTGGGTCATGTGGTCGGGAGTGAGCACTGACAGCTACATCTTCACAACTGTAAATCACAGGCACATTGGTATAATCTGCAGTTTAAAATAAAGAGCAGTCCATTTAGTCCTGGTTCACACTAGTGCGGGCCGTGTGACCCACATTTACACGGGCAAGGCAGCCCATTCACTTGAATGGGCTGCTGTGCCCTCATTTCAAGCAAGAAAAAGGCGCATACACCTTGTGAAAAACTCATCCGCAGGGAAACCGTGGATCGTGCTGCAGGCTAAGATGCATGGGGTTGCCCTTCAGAATGAACACAGCAGCCACAGGCACCTGGTAAGGGTAGTGCAATTCCGATATGGGTGGTTGTGAGAAGGGCTGCTGGTAGAAAGCATGGGGCCCCATACAGCCAACCTGACAGGGACCCCCTTAAAAAAGAAAAAAAAAAACGTTTACAATGCTTCAGTTATGAATGAACACAGTGAGTGATAGGTACCGATCACTCACTGTGTTCATTCAAGAAAGGAGGCTGGTAAATGTGACATATATACAAGACCTTTCCCCCACTCTCCATCCTGAGGGATCCTATTGTGTGCTTGCAGCTGCCGGTGGGAAGGAGAGGAGGGGGGCCGGTAGCACTGCGGGGGGCATTAGCAGCTGGGGGAAATATGTGGTACATGGGGAAGGTCAAGGGTATGGCTCTCTCTGCAGTAGCTAAAGCCAGAGAAGAAGCCAGTTTTCAGCTGCTGCAGAGAGAACCATACAGGGGATCGGACTCAGTAATTGCCCCCCTGCCATGCCGATCACCCTCCCTGCCCATATCTAATTCACCCAGCTGCCTGGGCCCCCTACAGGAGGACTGGTGGTACCCCTTTATCCATGGCTGTGGTTGTGAGTGCAGTAACCAATGTGACTCCCACAACCAGAACGCACAATGCGTGCTGGTGTGAACCTATCCTGATGAGGATTTCAGACCAAAGCATACAGCACCTGAAGTAAGGGAGCCCTCATTCACTCAAATATGGGAGTCAATTGAGGCTGAAGCTCTGTAACTCTGTATGTTCCCATTGACTTTTATGTTAAAGGCATTTATCATCATTAGCGTTGGCATATTTGCTGAAGTAAGTAGCTTGCAACTATTTCTAGCATGGTGGTAATAATAGAAAGGTTTTCTTCACATCCTTTCTCTGATTGGGTGACAACTATCTCCCAGTTGGCTCCTGCGTTGTCACCCTGTCCAGTTCCTTAAATAGCAGCCATTGAAGCTGTGTTGGTTACCAATATTGAGCTGTGTATAGGCTGTTAATATTGTTTTATTGTTTTTACAGAATTTATTTGACCATTTTACATTACGTTTTTATTTCCATGTATTAATTTCAAAGGAAAGAACAATAGCAGAACGTGCTTGCCCGACGCTCAATGAATATGTAGGCTTCCTTAGGGGTACATTTTTCTTTTGGTTAATATAATTAATTGCATTTCGAATTGGATTATTCTCCACAATTTGAACGCTTTGGATGATGTGTGTCCACAGGCTGTACTTCCAAGTGCCAAGGTTTGTTGATCAAGTAAAAAAATTTTCTTAATGAAGGACATAAATATGTTGGTGTTGAGACGAAGGAATTTAATTTGCCATATGTGCCATCTGTGAAGTGAAGGGCATTGAAAGTTAAGTGTCTACTAGATCAACCGGCTGTATTCACAGTTATTTTGTTGGTGCATCTGTCAGGTCTGAGCTATTTACAGGGCTGTGGCGTTGGCGTGACTTGTGACTTAAGCAAGCAGTGTTTGCAATTAAATCTGTTTTGTAAGATTAATAACATAAATCAAAACGCCAAACAAAATTAATTAAAGGTACCAGTGAAACCTGCTATTAGCATACATTCAAGGCACTGATTTCATGTACCTTTAATATCGAGCACTGGCCATGACTTACAATGGGTTACCTCACTCTGCAAATCCTTTGTTTGCTGGTCTACCAGTTCCCAGTCTTGGGATCAAGCGGGCTCCAGCATGGTCCGATCTAGGTGGTGCTGGGGTGGGCTATTTATTCATTATTTATTATAGATAATTATATAGCACTGTCAGTTTACGCAGCGCTTTACATATATATTGAACATTCACATGAGTTCCTAACCCTCAAGGGGTGTACAATCTAAAGTCCCTAATGCCCCATAGACACGATAAGAAAATCGTACTAAAACTTTCGCCGAACCACTGATCAAATTATTTTCTCTTCGTTGATGAGCAGGATGTTTTAACCGATAACGATATTGTGAACGAAAAAATCCGGTTGAACAACAGTGAAAATTTTTGTCGTTTCGCATACGAATGACCGATTTTCTATGCGGTGGTATGACGCTCGTACGAAAAAAAATCTATCAAGCGCTATCACGCATGAGCGGAAATAGAAGATGACCCGGATGTTTATGTCCAAGGAATCTTCGTAAACACGAACG